CTAGTTAAGAAAAATACCTCGGATAAAAGAATATGTTTACGTCAGTCAGATGACATTATTGTCCGTTCCATTTCCGGTTTAAAAAGTACTAATAAAGATCTAAAATCTAAAATCTAAAATCCAATGGTAAGAAATTAAGAATATGAGTTGTTGCTATATAATGTTCTTTCATTTTCTGATATTTAGAGTATTACATCTTGTTCTATTTTCAGTTCTTTTTTTGGTTGTACGAGTACGATATTAGTGTCTCATCAAGTAAGCTTGCATTTTCCGTCTAGTACTGTAGACGGGTACATTTTAACCTCATCTATAAGTCCATGTAGAGTTTACCCATCTGCTTCAATATATATCAAATTTAACTTGAATAGACCTGATTATGCATATGGACTAGGAGTCTAGGATGCTTAGACGTTAGCTCACGCAACATTTATTTAGGCATGCTTTTGAGAAAAATATGGCTTTGGTTACCTTTTTTGTTTTTTTTTGTCTTCATGGCTTTGGTTACTTAAACGTCTTCTATCGTCGTTAATGTTTATTTGGTTAAATCGAATCTTTTTATTGGATTAGAAGGTAAATTTGTTTACTAAATTTGTCTTCATTGACTACATATATAGTCAAATTGAATGAAATGTTAAAGAACACATTGAAGAGGGTAAAGACCTAGGCTAGTGATGCTCGATTATTTTATGATTAATTCATTTATTTGTTCAAAACCCGATCACAAAATAACACAAAATCATGAACGAATAACTTTAGATGAAATTATATTACTAATAATTTTTCATGATACTTTTGCATTGCCATGCAATGCATCCCACGTTAAACGTTAACTTATAGCTCTCTTCAATGACGTCCACCGCCGAAACCACCTCCAGCACCGGCTCCACCACCGAATCCACCACCGGCACCTCCACCTGCTCCTCCTCCAAATCCTCCACCTCCACCGGCTCCACCTCCGGCTCCTCCTCCGAGTCCTCCACCGCCTCCAGCTCCACCTCCGAACCCACCACCTGCACCACCACCAGCACCACCGCCAAATCCTCCTCCGGCACCACCGCCTCCACCAAGTCCACCACCGCCTCCAGCTCCTCCCCCAAATCCTCCTCCAGCACCACCACCAGCTCCTCCTCCTAAACCACCACCTCCGCCTAAACCACCGCCGCCTCCAGCTCCTCCGCCTAGACCGCCGCCTCCGCCTAAACCACCACCGGCTCCTCCACCAAGACCTCCACCGGCTCCTCCGCCAAGACCGCCGCCTCCGCCAAGGCCACCCCCTCCACCTAGACCACCGCCTCCACCAAGACCGCCTCGATGGTGGAAGAACGTCTTTTGATCCTCGAGACCGCTCTTAAGCTTCCTGTTACCGACATTAGCGAATGAAGTGAAAGCTAGAGAGCCGACAAGTAAGGCAACAAGAAGCATTGACTTGGAAGCCATGTCGTGCTTTCTGTTTTGTGTATGTGATGATGAGGAACTCTATCCGCCAATAAGGTGTTTATATAGATCATGTAGCTAGAGCTGAAGAGTTGAAAAATCGAATAAAAAGAGAGAGTAAGCTAAAGTTTTAGAGTGAATAATTATCATCAATTCATCTGCCCATCTAATTCGTGTTGCCAAATTTATTGCAATCCCTAACTACCAATGTTGACTAACTAGTCACTCACCCACATGTAGTAGACCCCTTGGTTCATTCTTTGTGTTAATACTTATCATAGTACTCATTTTCTTGCCTTTCACATTTAAATTTGGCTCTGTAGGTTTTGATGCATCCGAGTTTAAAATTATTCTTAATTCCGGAAGTATTTATTTTTTTTGTTAATATGTTTCGTTAATATTGTAGTGTCCAACTGTCCACCATTATATTAAAAAGTACTATACGATAAATAAAAGGGAGAATTACTAAACTAGTCTTGATAAATGGGTTTTTTAATGATTTTGGTGTTTTTGTTTCATAATTACTCAAACACTCTTTAAAAAATTTTAAACCCAGTTTTGCCTTTATTACCTTTGATAACAAAAAACGTATTTACGAAACTGTCATTAATGAGTTTCCCGCCAAAAGCAAATAAGTCTACCGCTCACGTGATGGTAGATTTATTTAGTGGTTGATAGATTTGTTTTTGAATGGTAGACTTATTGTTGAGTGGTAGATTTATTTCGGTAGACTTATTTTTATGCAGTGGTAGATTTATTTCTATGTGATGGTAGATTAATTACTCGTGGTAGATTTAATTGGCTTCATGGTAGATTTAATTCAGATATAAATAAGTCTACCATCACGACGATCAATAAGTCTATGCGCGTCGTGATGGTAGACTTATTTATAGTGGCGGTAGATTTATATGATGTGGTAGACTTATTAGTCGAATGGTAGATTTAAAAAATTAGC